ATGCATCTTTAACAATTCATAAACTTTAACACCCCCCCCCCCCCCCAACCCCCTTTATGAGTAAGAGGTCAACTCACATTACAAATACGCATATAAATCAATATATGGTAACATAAGCATAAGACGTCTTTCCTGTTATCTGCATTTAAAAGAGAAACCCATTATTATTTATTTTTTTTGCTAATTCGTTTTTCCACGTTTTTTTTAATTATACGTCGGTGTGCGTCACCTTTTTGTTTTCTAATACTGATCGTGCTTAATAAATGAAAAAAAGAAAAAAATTGTAACGCATTCATACAATTATTAAAGAGTCATTGTACACACACACACACACACACACACACACACGCACACACGCACACACACACACACACACACACACACACACACACACAAATACACACACACACACACACACATACACACACACACACACACACACACACACACACACAAACACACACACACAAACACACACCTGTCTCTTATACACATCTAGATGTGTATAGCCCTTCCTCCTTCCCCCTACTCTCCTCATCTTCTTCTTCTGTTACTTCTTGTACTTCTCTCCTCCTCCCCCCCCCCCTCATCTTCCATAGTACATCCCTCCCTCCCTCCCATCTCACAATACTCCCTCCCTCCCTCACCATCTCGCCATCCCTCCCTCCCTCACATCTCGCCATAGTCTGTCCCATCTCCACATCTCGCCATACTCCCTCCCCCCCCAAACCAGAATTTTATTGCAGATTCGGGGTCCCCCGCCTTCAAACGAAATAAAAATAAAATTTCTGGGCTGTTTTTTTGCCCGCCCGGTTCGCCCGGGCGACCCACCCGGCCCCGCCCGGCCGGGCGACGTCCGTACTCAGGTTATAACTGTTTTTCTTGGAAACTGTTCGAAAATCTAACTTTGCAAAATACAAGTAATGTTGAACTGGACAGCTCCAAAGGTCCGGATTCCGGACACTGGACTACGGCTTGTCTGGATGGCATGCTTCTAGTTCGTGTTGTATTGCCAATGCAAATGCTGACTGTTTACGGTGTGCGCTTTGGCAATTCAATATGGTGAATTGCAAGGTGAGCACAACTTTTGATAAACACTATTAAACAGTAATCATAATATTTGATTCACTGATTTGAACTCATGATCTGTTTTTCTGACTTTTTCAACAATTATTCGCGTGTTCGCAGCTGTGGTTGATGTTGAAAATCAAACCAGTTTAGGTAGGCCCATCGAGGTGAATCTCCGTGAGTGGCTGAGGAGTGAGGATAGGTCAAAAGGGATTGTTCAAGATGTGGAGGTGGAGGCCTCTGTCTGCTACTTTGCTCTCAAACCAGTGGAAGCTCTGTGGATTCCTCCCTGAACTTTGCTCTGAGAAAGAGTTCTCTCTGAGGTGTGTGTGTGTGTGTGTGTGTGTGTGTGTGCGTGTGTGCATGTGTGCGTTCGTGGTTTCGTGCTGCAGGTCCTCCTGATGCACAGGGCCAGGAGGGAAGAAAGGGAGGTAGGCGGAGAAGGGGCTACTCTGCTGCATCTCTCTCTGTGTCTCTACTACGACTCTCGCTTGCTCTCTCCCTCTCTCTCTCTCTCTCTCTCTTGATATGACTCTTTCACTGTGTCTGACATTCTTTTCTCCCTCTCTCTCTGCCTGTGTGCGTGTGCCTGTGCACACGAGTGTGCTGCATGGTACCAGGCGGTGTCTTTTTTTGCGTGGCTCGCTGTGCTTTCTCCTGCATGGCATGCAGCGAAAAAGGGGGGCTGCGTGGCTGAAAGAGAAGGGCAAGAAGCAGCTGTACTTTGCGACAGGAAAGAAGAGACTGGCCGGCTGTACTGGTACTGTAAAACAGTGTCACTGGAAAGTAAAAGGTCACTCTTGTGAACCGCACGACTGTGAAAAACCAAAGTTGGCTGAAAAAGCAACGAACTGCTCCGCGCGACCGGCAGGTGGGCTGCTGTTGGACCCATTCAGTTCTCGATGCTCTCGTGCGGCATGGCAACACGCAAGACCGGCAATAAGTAGGAATTTTCGTGACTTTTTTCGTTCTTTTAGCAGTTGGTTTTTGATGTTCTGGGTGTGCCGCACCGGTTTTTGCGGCATACTTCAGCTGTGTGTGCAGCACCGGTTTTGGTGCACTGCTATGAGAGCACCGCACATCTGAAGTATGCCGCAAGTGTATTCTGAAGAGTGAACTGAATGGAATTCTTTTTCCACATGCGTGTGCTGAACCGAATGGGCATGATACGTATGCGGAGTCGTTTGCTGACCTTTCCCCACTGCTCGCTGCAGTCGTGACAGAGGCAGCCTGCTTTCTTTTGTCTGTGTGTTGCAGGTAGTCCTACCTACTGAGCACTGTCAGACTGTGTCAGCTTATTTACTTTGAGGGCTCCTTTATATCAAGACAGGAGAAACACACAGGCAGCACCATCCTGAGAAAGGTTGAAGGCAGAGGACATTGTTCGCAACGTTGTTATTATTGTTTTCACTATTTGACAAGAGCTCGTTCTGTCATTCATTAAAAAGCTACTTGGCGGGCCAGTGCAAGGACCTGAGTCAAAAATGGTCAGTAGAGTTTCTAGCACACAATGATTCTTCTGTTTTTTCCACCCAATAATACCCCTATATCCTAAAATTTTTATCTTGAATTTCTTTTGACGACATCTAAAAATCTCTTGGAAGTTAATCAACAGGACTCCCTCAACGATTATTCTCCTCCCTTCAATGTCTTCAATTTGCAAAGAGCTGGGACTCCCTCAATGATTATTCTCGTCTCTTCAACGTCTTCGATTTGCAATGAGCTTGTTCAAAAGGAGGTTAATCAGATCCAACAAATCAATGTCATCCAAGGCCTTAAAAAAATAAAAAATAATGCTTGCCAGTGATAAGCAACCGGACTGTTGGCCCCCAGAATAGGAGTATTGTTGTTTGTAAAAAAAAAGAAAAAAAAAAAAGAAACAGCAAATGGTGGCACTTATGGAAACAAACAGGCTGAACTGGAATGCAAAGAACGAGTCTGATAATGAATTCTAGCGAGAGTTACAATGCCCTTCAGTCTCTCACCACATGTTCTTTGGAGTCTCCTCCCTCAAGCCTCCTCGGCACCAAAAAGATGAAGTCTTGACTGAGGAATGCTGATCCCTTATAGACTGTATCAAAGATTTGCTCAGAGATGTAGTCTTCTTGTTCACTGCGGCTATGGACTCCTGCCACCAGACAAGCTTTTCCCACCTTCAGGCCCCTTCTCTCTCTCACAGGTATGTCTACTGCCCCTACCTTCTTCACCTGAACAAAACGTACAGTCATTATAGCCGAATATGTGCCGCATACTGTAACGACCGTGCATTTTATTCGGGTGAAGAAGGTAGCTATGGTGGTCCCCCTCTTCCTTTGGTATGACTTGCCACCCAAACTCGCTCTGTCCTCTCTCTGGCGGCAGCAGGCCAGCACGGTGCACTACTGCAGCAGTAAGTGCAAACAGAATGCATTGTAACTGGAATGATTGTGAGCATATATGGTTCTGCCTGAGGTGCTTGGTTCCAGAGTGCATCTTCTCTTCCATATATGGTTCATAATGCTGCTTTCATGAATGTGAGAAACCGACTCCTCTTCTTGCCTTTCAGGGATTTGGGAAGGTTCACATATGGAAGGATGGGGGTCAAGGGGGAGGGAGGGGTGAGGGAGGGAGTGAAAGAGAAGCCCCGTAGCTTCTTATCTAAATCCCAGACCCAGGTAAAGCTGGCAGTGAGTTAAATCCTCTCGTACATTGTTAGTGCACATCACGCAGATTTCAGTGCTGGTAGGATCTGAGTATTTCCTTCTTGGGCGGAACCACTGATTGATTGGCAGGGTGGCTTAGGCAATCAATGACTGCCTACTATGTATTTCTGTAGGGTTGAGCTGCGTATATTTGGCCCACGACCCCACGGGACATTGATCTTAAGGTGTGGATCCAGGTTCAATATTCATTCAAAATATTCTTTTCCAGCTCTTGCTAATCACAGGGTTGGGGTCATCGGTTTCTTATGAGGCTTGGTCCATAGCCATTCCCTCGCGCCGAAATCGAGTTCCGCGATACGCTGGCTGAGGTTGAAGACTTACCCAGCGTTAATGGAATGAGTCGATTGTTTCAACTCTTTTCTGGGTCAAATTGAGGATCTCCAGTTGATGCCCGCTCTTGCTTGAGATGGGAAAGGAGATGAACCTTGCTCTGTAACTGTTGGAAAGCCTGTTCTCGAAGCGGTAGGGGCGAACTGGGTTTGGTTGGGAGATGAGGAGAACCCAGTCCCCTTGTGTCCAAGGGAAATTCCTCCCTCAGTAGTTCAATCCGTGCCTTCGGTGTTCACCTGAATAGAACAGCCGGTCGTTATGGCCACATTGAGACTGAAAGTCGCACCAAGCGCAGCTATAATGACCAGGCGTTCTATTCAGGTGAAGACGGTAGGGGATGCTTTTCTGCATAGCTGTGAGGTTCTGAGACAGGGACTGGCACCTTTTGACAGGGGTCCTTATCCTCACCTCCTTGTTGTGCTCTTAGGAGCACGGATTCTGTACCTTCCGGGCACCTTTGTCCAACTTGGTGAGCCATCCGTGATCAGTGGAAGATAATGACCAGGGAAGACCTGCGTTGTTCGTAATCCAGGGGTTACAGTATAAAGGCTGTCTGAGTACTTTGTCGCTGTTGGATAGGTTTTTGTGCTTGTTGGGGCGTGGTTTGCGCCAGGCCAACAAGATAGAAGCCCAGTACGGGATACGAGGCTGCCTATGGATCGTCTGTTCCTTTTGTCCATGTCTTCATTTTCGCCAATACCAAGGAAAGAGAGAAAAATAGAACAACGCTACTATTGCTCCCTTTGTTCTCTGTTACATATCCTAATGCTTTCTCTTGGGCGCAAGGCCGCACTGTCCTTTCTTGTTGTTTTTGACTTTGCTTTGGATGGGGAACCTGTTGTCTGTTGTGCAGGATAATGATGCCAACACCACAAGCTCCAATCCACCGTCCCCGCTTACTGGGGGTCCCACAAGCAGTGATGGACCCAGCAGGCGGCGTGGTCGACGAAGCCTGACACCTTTTTCCGGGGAGGAGGCAGAAGTGGATGACAGAGCTATTTTGGATGATGAACCAGAAGATGAGGAAGATGAAGAAGGGGAAGACTTGATGGAGAATATGATGGAGTAAGCTGAACCACAACTTTACCCCTGTTCTGAAGTTCTGATTTATCTTGTCGAGTTCTATGTTTGGTTTTGCTTTCTTTTGTGGAACGGCCGCGCCCCCCCCCACCCCCCCACCCCAACCCCCACCCCACCTCCCCACCCCAACCCCCTCTTCAACCTTTAAGAGGTTGTGATTCTTGTGAATGTATTTTCTTGCGAAAGCACATTTGGCCATCCGAGAGGCAGTTCTTGGAAGTCCTGCCGTTGCCAGTAGCAAAAGGGATTGAATCGTTTTAATCATATCTTTGGTGTGAAGAAGACCACGAAAAGAGGAAGGATGAGGATGAGGATGAACGAACAGTGGAGTGCTTTGGTTACATGCTATGGTTACATGCTATGGAGCGGTAAACCTATTTTGTGGGGCACATCTTTTTTTCTTTCCCTCACAAGTGGTGCATAGGGACTCCCCCTTTTCAGCCCATGGGTTAACCCCCCAAGCACTCAAAAGGGCGCTGTTGCTTTGCTTGGTGTCCACTGTATGGATTGCTGACAAGTGTGGTTTAGAAGAGTTTGGGGTTTCGTTACAAAGATCATGAGAAGATCCTGAAGGTTTAGGGCTCTGTTAACTACTTCTCCTTTCCCTTTGTTCCTGAAAATTATGGAGATTCTGCTGACTATCTAGGCAATATATTTCTTTCTCCTCGGAGCGAGTATGGAATTGGAGTGCTCTCCCTTTGTGGTCTTCCTTCCTTTCATCCCTTTGTCCCTCCCTCCCTCCCTCCCTCCCTCCCTCCCTCCCTTCCTTCCATCCTTCATTCTTCCTTCCTGCCATTCTCGTCCTTACCTCTCTCTCTCTCTCCATCCTTCCTTTCCTTCCTGCCTAACCAACTATGGACCTGCCTGCCTCCCTCCCTTTCTCCCTCTCTCTCTCTCTCTCTCCTGCCTCTCTCTCTCTCTCTCTCTCTCTCTCTCTCTCTCTCTCTCTCTCTCTCTCTCTCTCTCTCTCTCTCTTGCTCCCTCCCTCTCTATGACATATCCTCCTTCTGGCCTCCCTCCCTCCCTTCCTGCCCCTCCCCCCGGGCCAGCGTTACCAGCCAATGACAGCCATACGGCCTGTTAGGCTATTTACTCAACAGCTCCCCCCCTCTACCTTTCTGCTCATTCAGAGATATACGCTATCCCATATTCTGCAACTCAACGAACGAAATCAAACAGTCTTTTTTTTTTTAAGACAAGCTCCATCTATTGGTGGGGAGCAGCACCTGCTGGAAACCGGGTCCAGCGTCCCATAGATACAACATTTCCTCACAGGTTGGCACAAAACTGGGAACCGGGCCCAGCATCCCATCACGATACATTCGGAAAATTCCATCAGAACTCGCATGAGAAAGAACCAGGAACTACTAGAAAAATCTAATTAGAACTACGTTTTTTGGTTTGAGATAGGACTTTAACTTTCCATCTCCCTTCG